AAGGTCAAATCTGGTCTCTGGGGTGGCCAATAGTTATGACTATATTACTGTCAAAATTCTATTAGGGATATACATGTATTTTTCTCTAATTTGATTAAAATTGGAGACTATAGATGTTGCCAATATTTTTATAGATGATATACAAAATTCTAAAAGAGAATTTCAAAAGAGGTGTTTGTATTAGTGGAATGACTACTGAATATTTATTATTAAAAATAAAATAATTAGTATTAGTCAACTTGAAATGTTACAATCTTTTAATTATAAAAAACTTTTTAATGTGATATTAAAAATAAATTTCACTTTTCAATGATTATATATTTTCTTACTTTCTGATCGCCCAGCACATCGAAGTATAGATTTATCGAATAAAGAAGATGAACTCTCATAGAATTAACAGAATATCAACAAAATTATATTTTGCCAAACTATATTTTTTAACATTTAGTGTTGAAAAACAAGAATATTAAAGTGTTCAATTCCAATAGAATAAATAGGCTCAAAAAACCCAATCTGGAGAACATGCAGGCTACACGATAGGACTTCTACACATCCTACTATGTATCTTTTCAGATATTCTTCATTTAACTATGAAATTGAATACTTTCCCATAATACTTTTATTATAATTAATTGTTCTGAAGAACAAAAAACATAATCTTGTTAAAACTTTTGTTAGTTGTTACGATTCTATTATTTTTTGTTTTTAATCTTCAATTACGAAGAAGATACAATAATTGGTAGTGATAGATTTAACGATTAATGTTATTTTTCTTTTTACTGTTTTGTATATTTGTCGTTTTTTTGAATACCTACTAAGTACCTACTCCTTCCAATTATATTACAGTGATATTTACATGTAGGTAGGTACGTTTGCTTTGACAGTTTGTTAGGTGTGTTAGATCAAATTTACCAAACGGGTATTTTATTAAGAAAAAAATTACTATGCTAGAAAAGGTATTTGACAATAACCCCACCGTGTTCCAAGCAAAAAACATTTAAAAAAAAGTTTTTCTTTGAATCAATAATTTTATGATCCGGAAATCCTAATTTGACTTCCATCTCTCTCTGTGGCGGAATTTGAAAGATAAAGTAAACAAAGAAAGATCTGATAATTTATACTACGTAGCCTAAGGGAAAGAATATTGAACGAAGTTAACACTATAAATGGGATGTATAACAGGATATTATAAAAAAATCTTACTTGGAATTTCTTATCTAGAACAAGATAAAGACCTTTTATAATAAAATATTTTTTATTAATAGACAAATTAATGATTTGTTTAGTAAATTTAACTGCGGAAAACATACCCACGACCTGGTTTCATGGCAATCTTGATTATATGCAAGATAAATAAATATACCTATCAAAATACTATGCAAACTGTCAAAACAAATATATGACGTGTATACGTTATTGTAATCAGTTAATGTAGAATAATTTTAAAAAAAACGACAAATACAGGATATTGCATTAAAAAAAAAATAAAAGTTGCGTTTATATTTCCGAAATGCAACTTTCAGTTGTTTTTTATATACGTAGATATATTTCTTTGAGATCACAAGAATTTTTTTTAAATTTTGTTATTTCCCATTTTTTCCGAGATAGAATGATGAAATGATAAAGGAGGTAGGATGTTAAATGCAGAATGAAAATTGAAATACTCATTTTTTTAATGCTATTTTTACCTTTTCCTGTAAAATCACCTGGATTGAGATAGGTTTTGCATCTTAGCTCACAAAATGGAACACCCTGTATATTTTTAAACATATGGATTTCCGGGAAAATTCTATATATGTCTATATAAACAGATGCGCGGTTGCCAAGATATGTAGAAACTTCTTTGAATTTTGGAAAAAACATAACCTCGAAGAAGTTGTACTAACTTGGCTCAGCTACTAACACTTGGAACAAAATAATTAGACAGAGTTGTAGGCAAATGTTAGGCTAAGGTTCCCATATTAGCTATATCGATATTTTATACAGGGCATTTTTTATAATACAATCATTTTTAAAAAGTTAAAATTTGATTTTCTAAAATTTTTCAAATGGAACACCCTGTATTTTATTGTTCCATTTTATTCACATATCAGTCCACTTCAACTTTTATTCAGTATGTTCTACACCTAAAGTTGTTAGTTTTTAAGATATAGCAACATTTCTGGAAAAACCTAATTTTTATTATTTTCGATCGCAATAAATGGCTTTGAAAAAAACATTGGGTCAACTTGTCAGTTCATAGTTTATCATTCCAATTTGAGTTAATTTTATTAGTTAATATTTATTTGTGGTATTATGTAAAATAATAAAAATTAAGTTTTTTCAGAAATGTTGCTATATCTTAAAAACTAACAATTTTAGATATAGAACATGCTTAATAAAAGTTGAAGTGGACCGATATATGAATAAAATAGAACAATAAAATACAGGGTGTTCGATTTGAAAAATTTTAGAAAATCAAATTTAAACTTTCTAAAAATGATTGTATTATAAAAAATGCCCTATATGGGAGCCTTTGCCTAACATTTGCCTACAACTCTGTCTAATTATTTTGTTCCAAGTGTTAGTAGCTGAGCCAAGTTAATACAACTTCTTCGAGGTTATGTTTTTTCCAAAATTCAAAGAATTTTCTACATATCTTGACAACCCCGCACTAAAATAATAAACTGTTTATATTGACATATATAGAATTTTCCCGGAAATCCATATGTTTAAAAATATACAGGATGTACCATTTAAAAAATGCATTTGGCGTATCCCGTTTTTACTCATCGCCTTGTATGTGTCAAATTAATTTTGTAGTTTAAGTTTCTTAAGTGTGTAAAACTTTTATATAAACCTTTTTTCTGTATTATGAGTAGCAAGGGAGTTATTTTACTTTCTCACACTAATGGCCCACTCTGTATATAATTTTTTTAAATGCTTCATTTTACAGAAATTAAACAAGACCACCTTTAACTTTAATATTCTAGATTTCAATGTTTTCCAAAAAAGGTTTTAAAATCAAATAAAAAATAAAATGTTGAGGGTGAAATGATGACACCCCTTAGAACTAATCCATTACACAAGACGTTACTGTCCAAATATTCTAAGATTAAAATAAGAATAAGATATATCGAAGTAAATTAGGAAAATAATAAAACTTAACGTAAAGTTTTTAAAAATACCAAGCCATAAGCGTAGTCTATCCAAAGAAGTTACAATATCTTATAAACCAAGTCCTAAATAAAAATTTTGCCAGATTGAAAGAGATAAAACCATAGACTTACACAGGAAAAAGTAGGGAGAGTTAGCGAGCCTCCTCCCTACATTCGCGCTTCTATTGTTTTACCAAAGTTATACAAAAGATATGTTGGCATAACATAAAAGTCTGCTCTAAATTTCAACTTAATTTCTTAAAAAAACAATAGAAGAATTAACAAAAAACCTCTTTTTTGTAAAACTGTCAATAAAAATGACATTTTTAATTCATTGATAACTGAACTAAAAATTGACTTTTATAATCATTACGTGTCAAAAACACTTTTAACACTAGTGTAATAAAATGCTATATACTATATAGTAAGTAATATGCATTCTTCTCAAGATAATAGAAAGCTGTATTGATAAATTTAGAAAGACTATATTATTTAGAAACATTAATATTAATATTACAACCCGAACAGTTACTTATGTTAATTCCCTGAGAAGTAATTGCGGAGGTATTCAGTTTAACTACATTACTATCGTCGACGTCACCTGATGACGCTGATGTGAAGGTAGAAGAGTTCTCTAAAGTAATTGCAGCATTAGAAGAGGTACTGGTAGGTACTGGGAAGAATTATCTCAGCAATTTTATTTTTATTTGTAATTGAATCCTCGATGTAGCCCTCAACAACAGCTGATGATATCCATCCACCATGTCGTACCATTGTAATTAAATTAGCTCCCGAATCTGCTAACAAAGATACCGAAGATCTTCGGAAACAATGGCCAGTAAACTGCTTCGGATCTGACAATGTCAGAAGTTCCCAAAAGTATTTATCCCAACAGGTTGAAGAATACATTTATCGTTAACGTAATTTACAAAAAAGCGACGGTGACGGTGGGTAACGGCGGCTGGCTTTAATGCAGCATATTTACGGAAATAATTCAAAATATGGAACAATAAGGAGATTTCTGATTTTTCAATATCATCAAATGTCAATTTACAAAGCTCTTCAAGACGGCAAGTTCCAACTAAACCCAAAATTGATGCATCTTTTATCATTAGATATTTGGTGTATTAATTGTTCGCTAGTAAATATTTTCGATTCTTTTGGTCGATATCCTACACTTTTTCGTTTTAAAAACGCTATTAGCTTGTAATACTTGCTTATATCCATGTTGTTTTTGATTTGCTAACTAGCTTTTATCATAGGGGCATTATACCACAGTGTTGACGCCCTCCATAACATACATTTTTCTTCGAAGTAAGCCAAAAGTATATTTTCAGTAAACTTGTCTGCTATTTTCTTCATTTTACACCATTCAATAAGTCTTTTATATGCTATATCATATCGTTGCGCGATTTCTTTGGCAACAGGTCTAGAGTTGCCCTATTTGCGGCCTCTATCAACATCTGATGGAATAATAAAATTAGTGTCATTCCTGTATTTTGAAAAAACAAAATCCATTTTTTTAGTTTTTTAACACTTTTTATCATGAAAAAGAAACGCTAAAATAAGCAATGTCATTTTCACAATAGAATTTGATCTACTTTTTTGAAATACCGTCCAGCAAATATTTATAGACAGTTTAAAATCACCTTGTATATTAATAATAATAAAATAAATTAAATTAACATATAATAATAATATAATTCGAAGAGTTTAAAAAAGAAAATATTTTCACTTTTACAAGTAAAGACAGTTTTTTGTCCCTTCCTTTCTTTTCCTCGTTCGAAGTTTAGGAGCCAATACATATTAAACGTATAGCAGGTAGTTTTATAAAGTTTGCTCAGTCCCCATTGTCTGTTCCAGATTCGGGCTCGGAGAGCGGGTCCCACAAAGGAGGCGGTGGGGGTGGGCTGCGGAAGGGCGGCGGCGGAGGCACCGGCAGCGACGGCAAACCCACCCGGGTCCGCACCGTGCTCAACGAGAAGCAACTGCACACGCTGAGAACGTGCTACGCGGCCAACCCCCGACCGGACGCCCTTATGAAGGAGCAGCTTGTGGAGATGACGGGACTCTCGCCTAGAGTTATCCGGGTGTGGTTCCAGAACAAGCGGTGTAAGGACAAGAAGAAGACGCTGCTGATTAAAGCGCAGATGCAGCAGGAGAAGGTTGGTGTACATCGATTAATGACACGCATAATGGGTCGTTTTTTGACGTGATTTGGAAGAGATTCACAATACACAATCGATTTCTTATTTCCGATAGACAAACAATTGACATTGCTTTATGTTGAGATTAAATATAGCTTATTGTAAAATTACGCTTGAACGATTATCCACTACTATTGGCCTTTGTTGGCACTGCCTAGCAAAATAATAAGACTTGACATACACAATAGATTAGTAGTAAATAAGGTCGAAAATTCGATCTAGTAAAAATATTGGGAAATTCTTCATAACAATGTGCACAGTGGCGGCCCGTGGGTTTGATTAAGGGGGGAGGGGGCATTTTTTGAAAAGAGAATGTATATGATAGGAGCTACAGGGTGCGGCACCATTTGCTTGGCGCCGCAGGCGAAAAATTTTGAGGAATTTCAAGGTCATTGTGTTTTGCAAGTACAAACCCCAAAATGAATACTGCCAGTGTGTAGGGGGTAAACATGGGCATCACTAAGATGTTTATCTAAAACGGGATCAATTTTTATACTATAGTCTATCAGTTCTAAAAATTCCTCTTTGTTTACCGAATCACTTTTTTCATTATGTTCACGAAAAGGAAGGTTACATGTACCATATAGTTTTAAGATATCTATAATTTTTTAAAGAAGCATTCGATTTTTCTTAACTGTTTCGTTATGACTATTTATTTGTTCTGCATAAGCACTACTTAAACAAGAAGCAATATTTACTCTTCCTAAAAGTAAAAAACTCACCAAGTTATTTTTGTATTTAGGAGAATTTTCATGTTTCTTAATTTTGTCCGGTAAATATTTCAAGTCAGAAACTCCAGTTTTCGTCCACTTTTCTTCGCCTGCTCTAAGCAATAAACATACAAAACAAAAAAATCTATTTGTTTCGTCACAGCCACACAACCACAGGGTCTTATCATAAATGTAACCAAATTTGCGAATAAAAGCCGGCCTACTTTTGCACTCTTTCTGCACCTGAACTAAATTCAACACTGGCGTTGGACGTCGGTTATTTTTCAATTCGACTTTTTTCCTCTAAACTTAAATTACTATTAACAAGTTTTTTATTTCACAAACCCTCATTTTAAACTTAAACTTATAAAATATAATGTCTTGCGCCAAAGCAAAAACCAAACACGTATAACCACACTTCAGTGACACGGGTTACTGCCACATGGAGTCCAAAACAAAGCGCGCGAGCCTATCGTCGCCTATCCCCTCCACGTGCCAATTTGTCCAATCATATGTAAAATTATGCTTGCATGATGGACTCAGATTTCACCGTCCGCGATGGAGTGGGGATTGCGCGCGCGGTCAAATATAACTCTTTGGTACGATCATAGATGGCAGATGGCATTAATCTGAGCTACTTTCACGGAGTACATGCACTTTATGCAACCAACCTAACATCCAAGACATATTAATGCATGCTATTTAGATTTTTTATTGATTTAAATAAATACATTATTTTAAGTTTACAGTTTGAAAATATCTGGGAGGGCGGAGTCCCAGAGTCCTCCTTCACGAGCCACCACTGAATGTGCAGTATGGGGTTGCTTATTATTTGGCGTATGTAACGTCACTACTAAAAAGGTCTATTGTGAATATAAACATGACGATAGTTCCCTATTCTGAAGTTTGTAAAGATGTCCATCATTCATTTTGAGGAACCTTGATGAAACATGACAAAATAATCAAAAAAGTTGTTAATAATGGTACCTATTTGTTTATTTAGGTATTTGTCGAGAATAATGTAAAGAAACCAATTATATATGGGAATGTACAAAGCATATAAAATACAATAAATAACTACACTGATGGTACTATTCTGTAATATGTTGCAGCGACTGTAAGCGAAAACCTTCAAATTTTACAATTTTTTTTGGTAAATGTAATCAACACTATTTCAAAAAGTATTAATCTGATTTACAGAAAATGTCACAAAAAATCGCTTAAGTAAATCTTGTTATATTTTTTTATTCTCAATATAAGGAAGAATATTACAGAATAGCACCATAAATAAAAAAATAAAATAAAGATAGCAGAGAAAGAGAAGACATTTAATGATAAAATTACCTAAACAAATTAATGCTATACCTACCCACACAAATATAAAATTTATTTTTAATAAAAACGTACAATCAAATATATCATCTATACAGGGTGATTCAGAGCTTATCCAAAAAAAAAATTCTGGATGTACAGGGGATCCTTACAAATGCAATTTTGTATAGAAAAAATCAAAAAGGGCAGTTCGAAAACGATTTAAAAATACACTTCTGTACGTCACTGGAAACTGGTCCACTGTAAAACCTGACCTCGCGAAAATGCGACCGGCATGGCGGTGTGATAAAAACGGACAAAAAACTTCCGCAAGGAAAGAAATAAATAGAATTTTATAGCACCTATTTTACATCGGCAAATTCAACTGCTTTTGCCTTTATTGTTATTATTAATTAATAAAATTCATTTGTGTTTTTAAATAATAAAATCATTTGACATACCCGATGCGTGTAAACACATTTGGGCCCGTCTTACTCAGTTTCTACGAACTAACACAAATGTTGTCTTGCTTCACCATAACACAAATGCTTCACCATAATACAAATGTTGTCTTGTTTCACCATAAATTAAAACGATATCCATCAACTCCCGAGTTGCTATACACGCAAACCATTTTTGACACTAACTACTAAAAAACTATTGTAAACACCACAGATAACAGGTAAACACTATCGCAACGACGATTGCAAACCCTGATTTCAGTATTCGGAGTCGCTAAGGCCACGGCCTTAAGAGATCATCGTGGAGTATTCTAATAATAAGATACAATACAAGTCATATATTTTAGAAAGAGTCCCTATTTTTTACACTTGATAAACTAATGTACACACTATCGCAAAAATGTTAATATAATATATTTTATAAATTATTTAGGTTCTACACACTTAAACTGGGTTGCCAAATGACAGATGAGTTAGACCGCATAAAAAAATATAAAATACCTTTAACACCTTTAACAATATTTCAATGTTCTGTTATCAGAACCTATATTATTTCTCTTTGTAAAACATAAATTTTTATAAGTACTATATTGTCATGGTTTATTGAAATTTAGTTCATTGTCAAATGTAACTCCGGTGACTTTAATACAATTAATGAGGTTAAATTGTCCAATTTGCTTTTAGTATGTGACACTATATTATAGTTAGAGGCATTTCAGATTAAACCATTCACACTACTCAATGACAACAAGAGATTAATTCGACAATAAATTGTGGACCATCGACGTACAGTAAAGTATTAACAGATACATGTTGAATAATAGAGGTCCTAAAATTGATCCTTGCAGGGCATCAGATGATACAAAGAAAGATAAAAGATAAGCAATCATAAACCTATATAAAGAAAATACTACTCATATGGTTTTTCAAAAGCAGATTCCAACAGTAGGGACCCTATCAGTCTGTCAAATTTGTTTCAAGACGTCATTTTGATGTCATGGCAAGTTTGATAAAACCATAGTTTATGCTTTTGTCACAAACAAAACCATCAAACTAGCCAAACCCTTCTCATTAACGGTTCTTTACTATGCCCCTGTCAGACTATAAAATTTTCATAAAATTTATTAGAACTAGAATAAAATATATCTATTTCATGTATTGGATGTAACGGCAATTCTTCCTACAAATTTTATTGAAAATCTGCTTATTGATTATTAGGTATTAGTAGCATCTAATACAAAGACGTATTCCAATAATCACTAGATATAAAAGAAGCGTAGCAGCCAGAATCTTGTGAAAAATATGACGCTTGAATCTAAAATCGACTTCCTGGCATAGAAAACTCCAATAATATTGTCACTCACTTTCATGCCGAAATGATGGTTATATTCATAAATCTAGTTCGAACCGTAATTTAAACACAGCTTTAAAATGTACCTCTTTAGGTCGACAAATGGATTTTTTATTTATCACACTGGCAGAATATCTGTAAACACCGTATTAGAATATTTCACGCAGATGGCCGTAGATCTAGATCTAGATTTTTTTCTAGATTTTAACTAATTTGATAATAAATAATAATATAGTCTCCAAGTCTAAATAATTCGACCTCCTACATTTGAAAATATTTTTTTCTAAGAATTTATCCCAACTCTCCCAATACACAATATAGAATAAGAAAAGCAGAAGACTTTACATATACATCTATAGAATTAATGATCGAAATAATATCGAAAAGATAATCATTTTTAAATATCGCTTTAATAAAGAATAAACTAATAAGGCTAACGTGTCTCATAATGATAAACGCACTTAAATATTTAACGATTTTAATCCGCAGGTAAAGTCTAAATTCAATAATTTTTTAATTGCTTTTGGACAAAAACACTCACACTCATGAGTATGACGTATGTATACGAACCACTCTTGAGTGTTATTTCACTGTAAAATTTAATAAGTATTTTTTTCTGTGTTGCATTAGATAGGTATGTGTTATTATTCATTGCACCTAAATGACCATAATATCATAATTCAAGCGCGATTGTAAATAAGTATACAGTAAATATAGGAAAGTATTAAAGGTGAATTTTGTTCAGCACCGGCTTTCATTGTTAATTTTATAGTCGTTCATAAATAATTTAATGTTTGTTCGAAATGCCAATGACACTAGCAGTAGGTTCTTAAACAGCTCCACCTGTTTATCACCTACATATAGAAACAAGCTACTGGTTTGTTGTAGATTGGTATAATGCATGCGAAGTAATTTCGAACGATTTTTCGTTATCCTTATATGCCTTTTTCACTCTTCACTGTCTAGACCCTACGTCATTTCTATCAGCTAAAAGACCAGATTTGTTTGGAAAGTTAAGAGTGCGAGGGCGTTACTTATTCTTTTTATTTAATTGGATATTTCTGGCACTCTGAAAAACACAATTTTAATAAAGCCCTTGCACCAAAAACAAGGGATTAATTTTAT